TATATATATATAATTGAGATGTGGATTAAAACAAATTAAGATTTTTTTACAATATCACCAACACAACCAAAAAAGAAAATATAAATATTATTATATGATTTCTGAAAAAACTAATACTAATTACTCTCTATCAATATTCTATAAATTTTATGTCAAATTAATTTTAATCATATAATTTTATTTCGTATTTCTTCAATATTGCAAATACATACTCCATTTAATTTTCTAAAAACAACATTTTCCACTTAATTTTCCATAAATTTTATGTCAAATATTTTTTTTCTTTCCAAATATCTTTTTTTCTCACATTCTCTCTCCATCTCATCCCTTTTCCATTATTTCACTGGCTTTTTCTTTTTAAATAATAAAAAAAAAAAAATGTCTCTCCAAATCTCTGTCTGCCTATACATACAACTCTCTGTACATATATATATTACCACATCATTTTTTCTGGTATATACTGTCTAAAAAGGAGATGTAAACAGATTTTCTGCAAGAAATCTCAAAAGCCCCAAAAGGGAAAAGGTGAAAAAAAAAAGTTGATAAATAAATCTAGAGATCAAAAGAATCAATTTTTTTCACACCCCATATTACCTATTGCATCAATTATTTGAAAAATAAGTTTAGAGATCAAAAAAATCATATTTTTTTCACATCCCATATTACATATTGCATCAATTATTTGAAAAATAAAGTTTAGAGATCAAAAAAATCATATTTTTTTCACATCCCATATTACCTATTGCATCAATTATTTGAAAAATAAGTTTAGGGATCAAAAAAATCATATTTTTTTTACATCCCACAATACAAATTGCAGGCAATTGGTTGTTTTGTTTTACCTTTTTCTTTCTCTGTAAACAATAAATAATTTTCCTCTTCCTATGTCTGCTTTTGTTCATATGCCAGCTCTGCATGCTCCTCTCTCCTCTCAATAAACCTCTCTCTCTTTTTTTTTCTGTACTTTCTCTCTCTAGGAAACCCCCCATTTTCTATCAAGATTTTTGAGAAAGGGAATTGAACAGATCCTCTTTTGTTGATTGGGTAAGTAGGCAACAATTGCATCTTGGATCATTTTTTTTTTTTGTTTCCCTGTATTTTTATTTGGGTCCTTTGATCCCTTTGTTTTCTTTCTGTTCTGTGGTGATCTCTGAGGTAATGTTGGTGATTTCTGAGATTTTATCGTTTGCTAATCGTTGATAAATTGATATTGACAGAGGAAAGAAGATTTAATAATATATGCAATGATTTTATCAATGTTAGAATAATCAGCTATCGATTTATTGATTACTTGAAATTTGATTTTACGTCGTCTCTCGGAGCTCAAATGTATGATAATTGGGTTTTTGGTCGAGCTTCAAACTATTTCCATGATCTCTTGGTATGAAATGAAATTGGGAAGGAATCGGACCCACTTAGTGGACTTGAAGTTTTGAGTTTTCTTGGTATCTATATACTTGAAAACTTTGTCGGGTTTGAATTGTTTTTGGAGGATTCTTTATGAAGTTTCAGGCTTTGGCTCCTGTAGGTGTATATTCAGCTTTGTTTTCGAATATTGACTCTAGAAAGTTAGATAATGTGCTGTTTAGTCTGAAAATTATGCTGCTGTTTAATTTACATCTTTGATTCTCCTTTTTGCTGAAAACGATGATTCTTAAACTAGTTTGTTTGTTAGTTTGTAGTATTGATGACGGTGGACGTATTTGCTCTGATTTGATAGCTTTTATTTAAGGGTGGATGTGGAAAACATATGCAAGATTATGTTTTTCTTGTTCTGGCGAAGCAAATTGAGAACTTCAATGAGTAAGTCTCTTGTAGAAATGTGCTTTCAGAAAACACCAGGTTTGTGCATTGAAGTCTAACCAAAAGTTTGAAGTAAGAGCATTTGAAAGATCCGTTCTTTTGTGGTAAGGATCCATGTAAATGGGAAATAGCTTCTCTTGAATATAGGTGACCCCCTCATACATACTTAGGAAAATGGAAAGAAAAAAGTTGAATCTTGATTGGACCCTTCTGGTTTATTCGAATGACATGCATAGATATTCATGTTTGCCACGTTGATTTGGCTTCTGTGTCTCCCTACAAGAAGAAAACGTGAAAACATGTTGGGTTTATACTAAATGTGCATATTTTCAGTGAGATTGTAATATACAGCACATATATTAATCTTAGGCAATCAAGCTAGATGCTGATTTGTTCCACTTTTTCTATATCTTTTTGGTGGTTCTCAAATAAATTTGCTGAATATTTGGTGACTGGTGTACATGTTTTAGTTGTCCGAGTTCTTGCAAAATGTGTTGGCAAAGTCCTTTGAGGTTCTGTTGTAGAAAGTTCTTGCCTTTAGTGGCATCAATTCCCATATTATTCTCATAATTAGAAGCTTGTAATTATGAAATTGTAAGAAGCGGCCTTTATTTTTATTTCCCTGGAGTTTCTTTAGTTACTTTCTTTAGTTACTGGAGTATTATGTCAAAGAGATTGACTAACTGGTAGTTCATATTGCTGCAAGGAGCCAGCCATATTGTCATATTACTGCAATTGAATAAATGTAAAATAAGTTGTTATGGGCACGTTGATGCTCTTCGCTGTGGTCTACCTGTAATTTTCATTTTCTAGTTTTCTTTGCCTTATGTTTTTAAGGATTGCTGCTATTTAACCAGTGTTCTAAAAGTCGCTAGGTGCTTGACCAGCGCCTAGCCCCTAGGCGGGGCATAGAAATCAATATTAAATACCTTATTTTTTTTATTTATTTTAACTACCTTTTAAAAAAAACTGAAAAATTGCTGCCGAGGCCGCCGAGGAGCGCTTAGGTCCGCCTAGGAGCGCCTCCCGCCTAGCCGCCTGGCCGATTTTTTTTGTCGATTTGTGCAAATCGGAGGCGCCTGGGCACCGCCTAGCGCCTAGGTCAATTTTTAGAAAAGTGTATTTAACATCAAATTTCAGATTCTTGACCGTCATTTCATCCCAAAATTTTCGCTCACATTTTTTTTTTTCTCTCTTTTTATGTTGCTGGTTTACTACAGCAAGTTGATTCACATCAATAGAAGCTTGATAATCTAGAAGGGTATCAAATAATGTCTACCGCAGCAAAAGCTCTAGAACCTGCTTTTCAGGGAGCGGGTCAGAAAGTGTATCCTTATCTATTGCAAACTATGCCTGAATGGCTAACCAATTGAATTTATTTGTAGTTGATGACCTTTATTAATTTATTTTATACATGTCCAACCTGTAATATTTCTTTAGTCAAACTTTTTCTCTCCTTGTTAAACTTAACACTGTATATAGAGGGACAGAGATTTGGAGAATTGAGAACTTCCAACCTGTTCCTTTGCCAAAATCTGACTATGGTAAATTCTACTCTGGAGATTCTTATATTATTCTTCAGGTGTGCTTCTCTTTTCCCTTTATCTTGTGTTTTTTTTTTCCCCCATTTTCTATATGGAGGTGTTTTCAGACTTACCATATTGAATGCTTATATATATATCCAGACTAGTCCTGGCAAGGGAGGTGCTTATCTTTTTGACATTCACTTCTGGCTTGGAAAGGATACTAGCCAGGTATGGATCGATCATGTCCATACACTCTTTCAACGTGCCAGAACCGTGACTTTTGCTCCTTTCTCTTTTGCTCCAATCTCTTCCTTTTGTTATGAGCCTTTTTTGTGTTTCTCTTACCATTGGTTCTCTTGGGTTTCATCTCTAGCCTACCCCAACTTGCTTGGGACAAAAAGGCTATGTTGTTGTTGTTGTATATCTTACTTAGTAACTTGTTGTTTTTGTGATTAACTCAGGATGAAGCTGGAACTGCTGCTATCAAAACTGTTGAACTTGATGCGATTCTTGGTGGCCGTGCTGTGCAATATAGAGAATTACAAGGGCACGAGTCTGACAAATTTTTGTCATATTTTAAACCATGTATCATACCTCTCGAAGGTGGTGTTGCATCTGGATTTAAGAAACCTGAAGAAGAAGAGTTCGAGACGCGGTTATATATTTGTAGAGGAAAACGGAATGTTAGATTGAAGCAGGTAGGAGGACTAATAACATAGATTTTTTTTTTCTTTTTTTCTTTTTTTTTTGGAAAAAGATGATGAATAAAAAAGGGAAACTGATTGATTTTTCTGTCCCTGCAGGTCCCATTTATTCGGTCCTCTCTGAATCATGACGATGTTTTTATTCTCGACACTAAAGAAAAGATATATCAGTTCAATGGTGCAAACTCCAATATCCAGGAGAGGGCAAAGGCTTTAGAAGTAATTCAATATTTGAAGGAGAAGTATCATGAAGGAAAGTGTAATGTTGCCATTGTTGGTGAGTACACATCCGTGACATATATGATCGTGATGTTTCTTTATTCCATTTTGTAGACCTTTTTTTTTATTTTATTATATCTTCATTTATTGTTATTGACGGTAAGTGTTATCCTAATTTAGACGATGGGAAATTACAAGCCGAGACAGATTCTGGTGAATTTTGGGTTCTCTTTGGTGGATTTGCCCCAATCGGTAAGAAGGTTGCTACTGAAGATGATATCATTCCGGAGAAAACCCCTGCCCAGCTCTACAGGTAGTTATTTTTCATGTTCTGTGTTAATTCTGATTTAGACCTTTTAGTTTCCGTTTAACTCTAACGGGTTCTTTTGGTAATAGTAATTTGATAACTCTAATTGTAATTGTTCCTCTTAATTTATTTGTAATTTTGGAATGTATGCATAATCTAAATATTCCTTGAGGGAGTGATTGTCATGTTTGATTGATTATGGACCAAACATCTAAGTCTCGGTTATTCCTTTGGTTCCCATGGCAGCATTATTGATGTTCAAGTCAAAACTGTAGATAGCGAACTTTCCAAGTCACTTCTCGAAAACAACAAATGCTATTTATTGGATTGTGGTGCCGAAGTATTTGTTTGGGTTGGCCGGGTAACTCAAGTCGAGGAGAGGAAAAGTGCCGTTCAAGCAGCAGAGGTAAAAGATGCTGATAAGTAAAAAAAATCTTCGCATCTGTTACTACGTTATTACAGGACCTTAAAGGCTCAAACATTCAAATCACTTTTCAGGATTTTGTGGCTAGCCAAGGTAGACCAAAAGCAACACGTATAACTCGAATTATTCAAGGTTACGAAACGCATTCGTTCAAGTCCAACTTCGATTCTTGGCCATTAGGATCAGCTCCTGTTGCCGAAGAGGGAAGGGGAAAAGTGGCTGGTATGTGATTTATATCAGTCAGACCAAATTGGCCAAAACTTTTGTTTTTGACACGTATAATCTAATAAAATGTTTTTTTTTTTCCTCTTGCAGCTCTACTGAAGCAGCAAGGTGGTGTTATGAAGGGAGCAAGTAAAAGTGCTCCAGTACATGAAGATGTTCCTCCTTTGCTTGAAGGAGGTGGAAAAACAGAGGTCTTGATTTATGCTTCTAATTGTTATTATTTTATGGTTGGCATGATTATATATGTTATAACATCTAATTGCTCGTAATTTGAAAATTGATTTGTTTTTCCAGGTTTGGCGCATAGATGGTAGTGCTAAGACCCCAGTGTCTAGTGAAGATATCGGTAAATTTTACAGTGGGGATTGCTATATTGTGCTCTACACTTATCATTCTCACGAAAGAAAAGAAGATTACTATTTGTGTTATTGGATTGGTAAAGACAGCATTGAGGTACTTACTGTATATATCCTTGCTTTTAAATACTTACGATTGTTAATCTGCTTTCTGTTGGTAGAAAATAGAGCTTAACACATGGTAAAAACCAATATTCAGGAGGACAAAAATACTGCTGCTAAATTGTCGGCTACAATGTATAACTCACTGAAGGGGAAGCCAGTACTGGTAAATGAATAAATGAAAACACTTATGTTTTTTTTTTACAACATAATACGGTGAAAATGTAGGAAGTTTGAGTATAATAATGAATTATGTTTTTCTTCAGGGTCGTGTGTTTCAAGGCAAAGAGCCCCCACAGTTTGTTGCAATTTTTCAGCCTATGGTTGTCCTTAAGGTAAAATGAACTTGCTGTAAGAAAATAAAACCTAGTGAGTAAATAGTTCACTTTTTTATGATCTCGAAATGTTGACATAGGGTGGACTGAGCTCTGGTTACAAGAATTATATAGCAGATAAAGGTTTAAATGACGAGACTTACGCTGCCGATAGTGTTGCACTTATCCGAATATCAGGAACTTCACTGCATAACAACAAAGCTGTTCAAGTAGAAGCTGTAAGATAAACCTACATTTTTGGTTTTTGATATTCATTTGTTTTTCCTATGTGGGAGCAAATTGAATGAAACTCGACTTGTATATCTTTTTAGGTGGCAACATCATTGAATACATATGAATGTTTTCTGCTGCAATCTGGATCTTCAGTGTTCAGTTGGCATGGTAATCAAGGCTCGTTTGAACAGCAACAGTTAGCAACAAAAGTTGCCGAATTTCTAAAGGTACGTTTTTTCCATATTGAAGTATATGCATCAGGTTCTTATGTTTCTTGTTCAGACTAATGGGAGATTGAAAATTAGGTTCATCTCGAAATTGTTGCTTAGGTTTTTATTTGTACTTTTTTTTTCCTCAACTAATATATCTTATTTCATTGTAATCTTCATGAGTTCAGCCTGGGTCCACTGTCAAACACACTAAAGAAGGAACTGAGAGCTCGTCTTTCTGGTTTGCACTCGGAGGAAAACTAAGTTACACCAGTAAGAAAGTTTCTTCCGAGGTTGTCCGAGATCCCCACTTGTTTGCAGTTTCCTTTAATAAAGGTGGCACTTGCTTTTCCATTTTTTTTTTTTTGGTAGTAACTTTGATTTTCGTCTAACTTTTCCTCTTTTGATGCATATCCCACCCTCGTGTACTTCCAGGCAAATTTGAGGTATACACTGGGGGAAATGTAGATTCTCTTTTAGCCATTTCGGCACTTTTAAAATATTTGTATTTCTAACTAATATTTATTTTCCAGGTGGAAGAAGTGTACAATTTCTCTCAAGATGACCTCTTGACAGAGGATATATTGATACTCGACACACATGCCGAAGTGTTTATTTGGGTCGGCCAATCAGTGGACTCCAAAGAAAAGCAAAATGCGTTTGAAATCGGGCAGGTACAATAAAATACAATTTAAACTTTTAAATAAATCCCTTAAGTTCCTTCAATCCGGGCTCATTTGACCGGTGGAGTTTATTTTGCAGAAATACATTAGGATGGCTGCTTCACTTGAAGGGTTACCGCCAAATATCCCGTTATACAAAGTCACGGAAGGAAACGAACCGTGCTTTTTCACCTCATATTTTTCATGGGATCATGCTAAAGCTAATGTATGCTGTGGATATTTGTTCTTTCAAGTGTTTATCATGTCTCTGATTTTTTTATTTATCTTTTATTTGTGGAGATAACTTACTTCATTGTATTATGCTTTTTCCTAAACAAAAACAGGCACATGGGAACTCTTTCCAGAAAAAGGTCATGCTACTCTTTGGTGCTGGTCATTCTGTAGAGGTAAACTTTAAAAAATAATGTGACCTTATATGTATGAATATTTTTACTAAATTTGGACAGCACATTTATTGTCGATTTGCACCCTTAAACTCGCTCGGTTTTTAACAAAATCTTAAAAAAAAACAAACAGGAGAGATCCAATGGCTCTAATCAAGGGGGACCCACTCAAAGGGCTTCGGCTTTGGCTGCATTAAACTCGGCATTCAGTTCATCACCTTCCCCGAAAGCTGGCTCGGGCCCGCGCTCGGGTGGGAAAACCGGGGCTTCACAGAGAGCAGCTGCAGTGGCTGCGCTGTCTTCTGTTTTGACTGCCGAAAAGAAGGGTTCGCCAGACGTGTCTCCAGCACGGTCCAGGCGGGCCCCACCTCTAGAAGCAGGCTCTCCTGGTACAACTAATTCTTTTTCCTTCTTTCATCAAATTGTTTTTTTTTTTTTTT